CGTCAACTTTTCCAACTCAGAAGCAAGTAATTTATCGAACACGTGTGGACTATCACGTATCACCACTATGTCATTACTAACTCCTCTGCTGTGGCTAATCCCGCCCAATGAGAAAAGGGGAAAAGAGAACGAACTTAATACTCGTCAGATACTTCTTGTCTCTAATTTTAATAAAATCTATTCAGTTGACCTTATTTCTCTTTTCTGACAGGGTCGTGGCGGACCTGGCATGGCCACGAATATTGGTATGTTTCAATTTCAGATCTGCTCTTGACCCTTTCTTTTCCAATAGGCAAAAAGGGGGAGCATGAGATTCATGTGCTCGGTAGCATTTTATTTTCTCTATAGAATATTGGATTCTAACTTTTTTCCGGTAATATCTGTCAGATCCCAAAAAACACATTGGGGGACCAGCTGTCCCTGTGGATTCTGCACTTCATCAGCCAATAGGCATGTCAGTAGCTATGACTGCTGCAGCGGTTATGGCAGGAGCTCTTGGAGCTGCTCAGACTGGCAGCTCATTCGGTCAATCTGGAGTAGATCCTTTAACACTACATATGTCCAAATTGTCTAGGAGCCAACTGAATGATGTAATGTCTGAGTTTAAGGTCAGGATGTTGATTAAATCCCTCTCCTATTCGTGATTTTTCTAGCTCTGACTGAAGTCTGCTGCAAATATATATTACAGCAATAAAACTTTGAGTACTTTTCATTTATCAAAGACACTCTGCTTAGCTAAGCTAGAAGTAACTGAAACAATAGAAAACTATAGACTGAGCGGTATAAGAATGAATTAGCCAAATAGTCGTATTCTGGTTAATTCCTTTAATTATAGTGTCAACCAGTGCATATGATCCTCATGGATAACTGCTTGACATGATTATTGTAATTTTGATGACAGGCAATGTGTACACAAAACAAGGAACAGACACGCCAACTGCTGTTAGCAATTCCAAATTTGTCAAAAGCTCTTTTTCAGGTATTGAACTATGGTAGATGCTTAATGTGGTTGCACATTTCTGCTGTTGTTTAGCTGTTTGCTGTTGCTGACTTCTCAATAATGAAAATAATCATCTACTCTTCATAGTTGGTGAACCCTTAGATGCAAGAGGGCTTTTGTGCTCGTGCTATTCATTACTGCAGCATGGCCTAGCAGCCACTTAAGGCTTCTGAAACTGCATTTATGGTGTTCTATCCTTGGCAGCTTGTTTTATCTTTACTAGAAAACCACTATTCAAAACTTTTTGTGCTAGATTAGGACAAATGAATCTGTCTGCTTTATCACTCGGTTTGCCAATGTGCATAAGAGTTGGAAGAGTTGGACTTAATATATTGGAGCCCTTTAAAGGATCACATGCTGTGCGTCGCTCGTGTTGTACTCGTACGGAGAGGAATGTAGAAATTGCTTAATTGCTATATGGTGACCTTTGTAAATTTGTAGTAATTCTTTTTGGCAGTACCATCTTGGTACTTGCCTTAATAAAATCAACTTACCTTATTAGAAAAAAGGAGAGGAATGTGGATAACGGGTTCCTCTCACTTGTGCTCACTTCCGTTGCCCAGTTATTTTTTCATTCTTTCAGCACTTTGTATATGTTCTTTTTGTAGATAAGATACAGTAGATAAGCAGCAGACCTATGGTTGTTACTTTGATGAGTTTTATTCTGCCACCTGCTAATGTTTTCTGGGCAGAATTTATAATCACTATCTAAAAGTTTGGTAGCGGAGTGACATCAAACATATGGTTTTAATTGATTTGAATTTCAATCTTTATTATCTTAAGACACAGAGTAGAATATGCATTTTCTGTATAGTTTCACTATATTTACTAGTTACTAGTTCTCAGCTTCAGAGAGCACTATTGCGCCTTTTTGATTGCATGATTATTGTGCTATCCCATGCCTATAAGTTTTTATTTGTTTATGAATGCAGGCACAGCTAATACTGGGAATGGTGTCCCAACCAATGGTTCGTTCACTGGCTCCATACCTTTTTTTCTTCGTAATAAAATTCCCTGGCTCTTTATGCCCCCCCCCCCCCTTCCCTCTCCCCCCCCCCCCCTTTTTTTGGTTGTTTTTTTGAGGCATCAGGTTGTGAAAGAGCAACATCTAATCATCTTTGAAATGTGCAGTTGCAGATGCCAAACATTCGGCAATCTACTGCACCTCAACTGCAGCCATTGTTGCTAGATAGTCAGCGAAGTCAACAACTAGCAACTCAGTCTCTCCCTGGGTTACCCCCACTTCCCCCTAGTTTGCTCCCCCAGGCACGGCCTCAGATTCAGCTTGCTCAACCAGCACAGAACCAAATTTTGCAGAGTCAGTTGCCTACGCCTTCTAGAATCCTTCAATCAGTGCAACCCCAGGTCAATGTATCAATTAATCCGCCAGTTCAGATGGGAACTTCCTCTTCTATAAAGCAGCAAATGCATCCTTCTTTCTTACAACAAGCTGGACCAGTTGCAACTACAAATTTTTCATATAATAATCAGCTGGGGACAACAAATACAAACTATCCTCCTCCTCAATTAACGCGTCCCCCATTATTGGAACAAGGTTTTCAGGTGCCTATCTTTCTTTAACTGTTAGTCCATTAGTGCAAATAAATGAACGGCAATGGCAAAATATGATATATGTGGAAGTATTATTTTTAAAATGTCATGGAAATGACTTAATAAGGTCAGTAAAACTTACTTTTGTCAAGTAGATGATTGTCATGCTTGATTGGTTAAGTAATTATCCGACGAATAAATAACAATGTGTTTTACCTTAGAAAGGAAGAGAGTCTAAATATCAGGTTCTCTTAATAGCTTTTTGGTGGTACGAGAAGAGAACTAGAATCTTATGCAAAAAGCCGCTTATCTTTGATAATAAAAGCTCTGCTCCTCACCCCTTTTCTACTTCTGGAAAGTTTACTTGAATAATTCCCAAACGCAATGAAAACAGGAAGTCTATAGGATAGTTGCTATATGGAACAGTGTGTATCTTTCTTGCAAGACTTACTTCAGTGGTGTTGTACTATGTCTCTTTCAAAGGGACACAAATATGATCTTGTATAAATTTTTTGTTAACAGGTAAACCCTTCAGCAGTTTCTGGTGTCATGGATAATATGAATAAAGGGTCTCGAGGACCACAGGTTCCAAATAATTCTTCTTCAATTACCAGACCAGCTTACCCTGCAGGTTTGCCTGAGGAAAAGAGAGGGGCAACTAATAATCTAGATCTTCTTAGTCGGCCATCAAAAATGCCTAGACTAAATGATGGAATAAGTTATGCCTTACCTGATGCAAGTGTATCTACGTCCCTGTCAGGACCCTCAACTCAAGTTTCAGCTGCAGCAGAAGTGTCAAACTCTGATAAACAAGCTAGTCAGGTAGTTTTAGAGTTTTTCTTTTTAATCAATTGCATACACTTAAGACAGATTATTTTGCAAATGAAAAGTGAATTTAGATGATTCTACTCCCACTTATTTTCTTGCTTGACATGTTGATTTGAAAGATTGTCTAACTAGTACCCTCTGACACAGTCTGGTAAAATTCCGGATGTGATTATGTTAAATGCCTTTATTTTCTCTATAGAAACAACTAATTGTCTTGATTTGGTACTAAATTTGGAATCATGCCGGGTGTAGTTATAATACGGTAGTTTAGTTATATGAAGATATGCTCTTCTTTTTCAACAGGTGCAGCTTCCCTCGGACATTGAGTCTGCCTTGCTGCAACAAGTACTGAGTCTGACTCCTGAACAGCTAAGTTCACTGCCACCAGATCAGCAGCAGCAGGTCATTCAGCTTCAACAGATGCTTCGGCAGCCAACGTAGCCACATTTTACTACATGAAGAGGATCTCAGATACACCTGCATGCTGGTTTCTGTTTGCCCCTCTGCAATATTTGCGCAGAAGGGCATGTTGTCTCTTAGATCAATTTCCATATTGTAAAGTGATTGATTTGCAAAGGATCTAGCATAGGATTATAAAATGCACTAGAGGCTATTACATATTTACATTCATGTAACGGTTATGAGCAAGCTGTTTGCAAGATAAATGAAGGAAAGAGAAGAAATTTGTGGCTCCAGTTGTACTCTTTTTTGTTAGTTATTTGTCAAAGCTCCAGTTGTACCCTAGGAGTAGATATTTGAGACACATTTTTCATTTGCTATTTGCCCACTTATGTTTCAGTAACAAATTCATTGCTTGGTTTATCTTAATGCAAGTCCTGGATCAGTTTTGCGCTTTTTATGCATTTATATTCCGAGCATTGTTCTAAAGCAACCTAGAAAAATCTGGAACTCTGATGTCGCCCTGTTGAGAATCTCTCTTTCGCTCTCTACCCCTCAGAATGTAATAGTGGTCTGGACATTCAATTTTATACCACAAGGGAATAATATTTCGTAATATTACTAGCTCAACATAATCCTTTTTTGGAGTTGCCGATAAAATACTTGTGAAGGACGCTCGTCATATAAAGTGAGAATTATCTGCACCTCATATTTTTGTAAATAATGCTTAGCTCGTGTAATCAAATTTGTGGAGAACAAACACTATTTGAAAAGGAAAAAGAAGGGGATGAAAGCGAAATCAAGCACTCCTGAGTCCTAATACATACCCTGTTCTTAAGGTATAAGTTTTGATTTTTGGAAACTCTATGATGTATAGTCGTCCTCCAAAATAATAGTCAAAAAAAATATATTTTTTGTATATTAATATATAATATACATATTTATACATTACAAGTGTATATTTTTTTTATATATTTAGCTGGCGATTGTAATTATATTCAATCGAGCGGCCAAATTGTTAAAAGCCCTTTGATTTTAACTCACTGGCTTATCCTCAAGTCCTTCAAACAACACAATGTAATGTACTATGTATGATTTACATTCTTTTAATTTTAAAAAAAAAAAAAGTGAAAGAAAAAGAAAAATAACTTTGGTTAGATGGGTGAGCCAGAACAGGTGGCACCTTACCCGCCACCATACATATAACGACATAACGTACACGAACCCATTTCTACATCTGTTTTTCCTCCATTTCTATATTCTTCTCCCACTGTTCTCTGTATCTAACATTCTAACTACATTAAAAAGAAAAAATCGTCCAATTTGCCCGAGATTTCTATGTACATATAAGCTGGCATATGAGTAGCGGAGAAGAATTGGGAATTTGAAGAGAACATCAGAATGGTAATCCAGTTAGTTCTTAGAGCTCCAGTGGGTGGCCATCTTGTCAAAGCTACTCCGCTTGTTCCCAAGAAGCCCAACGGATTTTCCAGGTTATGTATTCGGAATTGCGTCACAATGGACCCTCAGAAATCCCAAAAGGTGCTCGCTTTTTAATTGCTGCAATCTGTTTGTTAATTTTCCTGTGGAGAAGTAATCAAGATCCTTCTTTTTAACTTAAAAACGGTTTTTGTCATGTAAAGTTTTGTCTTTTTATTTGAAGTTTAGAGCTCACCCACGTCAACAGTCCTTTGGAAAAGCAATGTCTTTGGGGTTTTCAGTTGTTGAATAGATAGGACTGATGTTTGACTGCTTAGAGTTATACTTGGTATCTGCTTCAGTTCTTCGAGAAGTCAATTTGCTGATCCATTAATTGCTTTCTTGAGTGAATGACTTTTACTAGAGAATTTAGACCATCTTTCACATTGTTACAGAGTTACGAGTACTAACTACAAACATGTCATCTTTTTCTCAACCTTTATTGTTCCATCTTATTTCGCTTTAAAATTTCTATGCAATGATTTTCAGTCGTCTAACGTCTTCGAAAGCATTTGATACAGTGTGGTTTTGGAACTTCTCTTTTCCTCCCCCCCCCCCCCCCCCTACACCCCCAAATATAAGCTTAATTCTTTAAAGACAACCAACGTCCTGCAATTTTATAAAAAATGATTTGAAGTATAGAAATGTTCTTAAATGAATAAGTGACTCCATGAAACATTATGAGATCCCTATGAGCTAATTCAATGAGATTAGGGAAATACATATCATGATATACTGAATGTGATAGGATAAGGAGCTTCTTTTCATTGAAAAGTCTTAGTTAAATGCTAGAAACTCTGTTCACTCCGTTCATCTCATGAGACCATGTATGCACTTCTTACACAGACAATGCTGTGACTGAGTCTGATGGGGCCACATTTCAACTTTGCAGTTAGTGCTGGATGTAAAGGAGAGACTTGAAAGGGAATATACAGATCTCCCGGTGGGAAGAAATGGAAGAGATGATGAGGAGATGATCTTATGGTTCCTGAAGGATCGCAAATTCTCAGTTGAAGATGCTGTTTCCAAGCTGCATAAAGCCATTGTAAATATATCGTTTATTTTGCTAGAATCATCTCGTTAATTTGACTTCCATACTAGAACTTGATTATTGAAAGGAAAACCTCATGTAGCTTATAGTAAATTATATCGCAGAGCATGATATCTGCACCCATAAGGCCTCAGATATCTTCTTCTTTTTACTGTTTTCTGATTTGCTTTCCTCCTTCCATCTGGTTTCTGATGGTGGAGAGAATGGACTTAGTCTTCCTCTGCCTTTCAGTTGACTTGTTCATTGTGTCAAAGATTTTAAATCCAATTCTCATGAAGTGGCTCTAGCTGTACTCGACTTGAAATTTCTAATGCTATATTTACTATACGCTACATGAGGTTTTCTCAATCATAAAACATGGGACACTGGAATGCTAAGATTACTACAAATGTTCCATTACCTCATGGTGATGAAAAGAAGAATACCATTCCTCTTGCCTGCCAATCTTGCTTCACTGTGTCAATTCTTCATTTCAATTATCATGAAATTACATATAGGCTGCATCTGAATTGAATATTGGCTATGCTATAGTACTTACTCTAAGCTTCAAAAGTGTGGAGGGATATTAAAAATGATGTATTTCATACCTTATCAGAGATGGCGTCATGAATTTGGTGTATCAGACTTGTCAGAAGAATCGGTTAAAAGTGTTGCTGAAACCGGAAAAGCATATGTGCATGACTGTTTTGATGTCTATGGAAGACCGGTCCTGATAGTGGAAGCATCAAAGCATTTTCCACAGGTAACAATGTGACGCAGCTTATCTTAAAGCTAGATTTTTACGAATACTAGGATTATTCAAAAATCTTCTTAAGAGAAAAAAGGACAGAACTTTGGCTGTATTTTTGCCATTTGATTTTCATTCACAGAAGTTCGATTTCTTTCTTTAATAAATATAACGATTTGCAACTGCTAAGATTTTTGCCAAGGAAATTTGCACTTGAAATGAATATCGAACCCAAATTTTATAAAAAACGTGTGATATATATGAAGTAACAATTTGATGATAATGTTGATAATGAAATCTCAAAATCTTTCGAAGAGTCCTTTCAAGGATGGGTTATTCACATTTTATTTGATGGAGCGAAGTAAAAGCTAAGCAGTGGAAATTCAAAAAATTCCCTGGGAAAAAAAATAGAGATGTCTCCTACGTTACCCATCGATTACTTTTATACATAATAGACAAGACTATTTTTTCACTTCAGAATAGATTTGAGCAATTCGAAGCATATGAAATATTTTGGTTTTCTATTTAGCGGTAAAACTAAGATACTACTAGATGATGAAAACTNGAAATTGATTAATATTTTACCTAATGTATATTGTACTAATACAAAACAAATCCATATATATAACACTATGACACGTAACGTGACCATAGTTTACCTTTGATCATCACCGAGAGCAGGGCGCCTTCATAAAGCAAGTAAGCAATTGTTTTAGGCCCATATTGTGGGGCCCCATTTTTGTTACACCTATAGGTTATGTATCATTTTAAAAAAGTTTTGTGAAGGGAAAAAGTTCGATTTCTTTCTTTAATAAATATAACGATTTGCGACTGCTAAGATTTTTGCCAAGGAAATTTGCACTTGAAATGAATATCGAACCCAAATTTCATAAGAAATGTGTGATATATATGAAGTAAGAATTTGATGATAATATTGATAATGAAATCTCAAAATCTTTCGAAGAGTCCTTTAGAGGACGGGTTATTCACATTTTATTTGATGGAGCGAAGTAAAAGCTAAGCAGTGGAAATTTCCCTAGAAAAAAAAAATAGAGATGTCTCCTACGTTACCCATCCATTACTTTTATACATAATAGACAAGACTATTTTTTAACTTCAAAATAGATTTGAGCAATTCGAAGCATATGAAAATATTTTTGGTTTTCTATTTAGCGGTAAAAACTAAGATCACTAGATAATGAAAATTTGAAAACATATTGCTTTAATCTTGAATGTTCCTTAAAGCATAATAATCAATTCGATATTGATGATNATTTCTTTTGGCAAATACATGTTTGGCATAGAATTTATCTGCATTATGGTAAAGTCCCAAAACCCAAAACTCAAATCCCAAACCCAGCTCAAGAGCTGGTTTTTACCCAAAATATCACTATTACATTTTTTAAAAATTGTCCCAAACTTTTGTATTTTATAAAAAAGCTCACCATTTATTATTTTGTAACAATGCTACTTCCTCTTCTCGGTCATCTGATAGTGTATTATGTAGTTCATTATAAAAATAATAATTTGTGCCAAATTTATTTATGTTCAAAACTATGGTTTACGAACATGTTTTTTTAAAAAAAAACGTGAAATATTTTTTGAAAACTTATGTCCAAACACATTTTAATCTTCAAGCCAAACTTCACCCAAATCAGATTTTTCAAAACTAAATTTGGGAATCTATGGCCAAGCGCTAGCTAAAAATTCTCCGTGAAAAAAATAGAGATGTCTCCTACGTTACCCATCGATTACTTTTATACATAATAGACAAGACTATTTTTTCACTTCAGAATAGATTTGAGCAATTCGAAGCATATGAAAATATTTTTGGTTTTCTATTTAGCGGTAAAAACTAAGATCACTAGATGATGAAAACATATTGCTTTAATCTTGAATGTTCCTTAAAGCATAATAATCATTTCGATATTGATGATTTAGATTTATTTTCTAATTAAAAGTATTAAGAAAAATAGTACAATTAGAAGATAACAATTTAATTGATACACTCAATCAAATAAAAAGATCTGATTCTTTTCCAAATGTCTATATTACTTATGGAATAATGTTAATAATTCCTGTTACCGGTGCTTCAGTGCAAAGAAGTTTTCAAAATTAAAATTAATAAAATCTTACCAAAGATTCACAATGTCTCAAGAAAGGTTAAGTGGATTAGTTATATTGTCAATTGAAAAATACTTATTAGGAGTTATTGATTATAAGAAAATCATTAATAACTTTGTATCTAAGAAAAGCTAGAAAAATAGACTTCAAATAAATAAATAAATATTTAAAAAAAGTTAAGGCTCCTCGTAAAGTTTGGCTTTAGGCCACAAAATTCGTCGGGCAGCCCCTGCAGAGAACCAAACTTTGGACCCACCTATTTTTGACTGATCAGAATTTCTTAAGTCATACATGCGACATCTCATTGTTTTAGTAAAAACTTGAAATTTTGTTTTACTTTTTTGACTAAAGCAATTGAAATGGAAGTGTTAGTGATGTATGTAACGAAATGCATTTGTACTTTCTCTTAGTTATTTCACGCATGAGTGTCTTTTTGCTACAAGAAAACTTTCAACTTTTGATAGATCTGATCCTTTATATTTATTAAAGTACTTTTTTTTTCAAAATGCCTCCACTGTTTTACTAATTGAAAATATAAAACTTATCCCTCAACTAAATTTTAAGGAGAAGGAAATTATTTTTCGAAACTTGTGATTTTGGGTGGAAAAGCAATAGAACGTTGGAAGCTGGAGATTTCTTATGAAATAAAGTTTTTCCCCTGTAGATACTGTTCTGCAGTTCTGATGTTGTACACTAAAATTTGGTGCCACAGAAGCAGGATCCTGATGAAGATGAGAAGTTATGTGTCTTTCTAATTGAGAAAGCATTGAGCAGACTTCCCCCTGGTAAACAAGATATACTTGGTATATTTGATCTGAGAGGGTTTGGAACGGAGAATGCAGATCTTAAGTTCCTTACTTTTATGGTAATGTCCACTGTAGTTGCTCTTTAGTAATATTGTTTGCATGGTTCATCTCTCTGGGTGTTAGCTTAGGATGATTTGATTCATAAGGTTTTCTATCTTCTTTTTATTTCTTCTTTTGTGAATAAACTATGCGGGCACTTATAATATTGCTTTATCAAGTAAAACTCAACTTTCATGATGCTAATACATCATGAAACTTTATGCGTGAAAGCTTCTTATTGAAAAATACTTAATGCTGTTGCTCTTGGTGCCTCTTCTAACATAACACCCTCGAAAACCAGCTTCTTTTCATTTTCTCAACAATTCTGTCAAGTGGGTTGATAACAGGCCTATAGATGACTTGCTAATGTCATGTTCTCTACCTTCCGGTTGTGTTTACTATATAGTATTTAGCAATTTTCATCGGATCTTGAACAGTTTAAAATTGCATGCTAATTTCTCTTTAATCATTTTGGCACAGTTTGACGTATTCTACTACTATTATCCAAGACGGTTGGGTCAGGTTCTTTTTGTTGATGCTCCTTTTGTCTTCAAACCATTGTGGCAGCTTGTCAAACCTGTGCTCAAGTCATACGCTTCATTGGTAAGACTTCCGTGCTATTAATTAAGAAGTTATTTCTTTTCTGACTTATCATATGTATATTGTTTCTGTTTGAGTCATGGCTTATATCCAAAAGCTCGACTTATCTTCTCACTTTATAATAAACTAGTTCATTATGATTTTATTTGAAGAGTTACACAAGGTTTTGAAGGTATTTCCCTTGTGAATCAGCTCTTCATGGTTGCTACTGATGCCTGTGTTTAGACGGACACACTGAGATAGTCTATTTACTGCCTGTAACCTCACTTTTCATGTCTGCTACATCTGTTTTTACCCTTATACAGTGAGCCTCTAGGCTAAAGCAGCATTTAAATATCCATATGATTTGGCGCATTCAATGCATTATTCTTCAGTTTCTCTTCTTTTTCAGTGAACACTTGTTTCTGTCATTTGAATCTTTTATGCTTTGCCACTAATCAATTGGACAAGATAAGAAATGACCATCTCAAAATCTGATTACATAATCTTCATCATGTCTAGGCAGAATAAAATTAGTTATCTCAGCTGCTTTGATATGTTATCATCTAACACTCTCTATGTGCAATTTGAAAGGTGAGATTTTGTTCGGCGAAGGATGTCAGAGAGGAGTATTTTACAGAAGAGACAGTCCCAGCTAGTTTTAGAAAATGAAGACATGAGCACCTGGTACACCAAAACTTTGATATACGCAAGAATAGAAAAGACTGAATCTTGATATAAAGAAGCGTCGGCCAAGATAACGATGACAAGCTCAATGATGGAAAGGACTAATGGGGTTATCGGATTATAGTCTTTTCATATTTGCATGAATGAGAAAGTCACTTTTCCCCGAAGCCCTGTGTTAGAGTTAGGACCATTTACAACAGCTATGATGTATCAAACTAAAAGATAGTACAATGTACTTGGTTTTATCCGTATACAATAAAGCAAGATGCCCCAAGACTTAAATTCAAAGGTAAAAGTTTTACAATTCAAATGTGTGGTGGGTGCACATCACTAGTTGGAATCTTGATTTGGATCAAGTATAGTATTCAAGTGGAGAAGCTTAGAGGGATGGACTCATTATCCACCTAGTTTCGAAACCGTAAAAAGTTTATTATTTTTGATTATCAAAAGAAAAAAAGTTAATGCAATGACATCTTAAGTCAAAGGAACTTACTTGTGTGTCCTCGTTTATATCTAAGCAAATCTATTATCACACTCTTATTAGAGCCATTCTGTTGTTCTTTCTACTCCATAAGATTTAGCTTGACTCCAAATTCTTAAGTTTTTTACAGAAAATTCAGAGTAATACTTAACTCCTTAAGGTTCAAGAATATAACCAATATACTGTAATTCTTTTCCAGAAAAATCTTTCCATCTCAAATTAAAGTTCCATATTTCCTCTTAAGGCCATTGGGAAATGGTGCAACCTTTTAATAAACAAAAAATACTGTACAATATTTTGTTTATCTCAGACGAACTTTTAGCTAGATTTGGTTGAAACTTGAAAAAAGAATTTTTGAAATTATGTTGAAAAATAACCTTTATAAGTTGAAATTGTGTTAGGACATGCATTTTATTTGGAAAAAAAATTGAAGTTTTCTAAGTGGAAGAAAAACTTTTACCCAAAAACTGGTAGTTTTTGGGAACTTGAAAAAAAAAATTAAAGTTTTTTCAAAAATTGATCATTATGAACAAATAATATTTATTTAAAACGTAGCCAAAATCTATGGTCAAACAGGAACTTATCTTAAAGTTCACAACTCTTTACTTTGCTTATTCTATACCTATAAAAAAGAATGAGTAGTAAAATCATCTCTTGCATGTTTTTTAAATAATAACTAAGTCATTGATCTTTCAACGTTCTTTTCAATGCTTGCACGAAGACACTCAATTGTGCAGAAACAGCCAATTTAAGGAGCAAAATGCACCAGGAAACTGCTTGATGAATACAATATTGAGGAATGATTAAACTTTAGGGGTTAAATCATAAATCCAGAAATTGTAAACCGATGCATTTGGCAACTGAATAGTAAATTGAGGGCCTTAGTGAATTTTCCTCAAAAGAAGCTGATAAATCATAAATTATCACTGAAAGTTTACCTTCCTGCACCAAAATGGCAATGTCAAGTTTGAAGAATGCTTTAATAATAATCCTATCGGCGATAACTATTGCATGTTCGACGGATTTGTGCAAAGCGATCGAATCACCAGGGTACACAGTGGTGCACTCAGAATCAGATTTTGAAATCAGACGTTACAGGGAATCGGTATGGATGACGGCACCCGTCAACGAAATCTCCTTCGAAAAAGCCACCAGAGATGGTTTTCACAGGTACCCCTTTTTTAAATTTGTTTAATTGTTTATTAAATGGGTAATTTTCACTGGTTACGACAATTGGAGTTAACTATTTAGCTTCTTCTTTTAGCTAACTTATTGAGGGTTAACAATCTTTCCCCTTTTCTTCTTCTTGTATTATGCCTAATTTTGTACACCAATTTCCCTTTTGGACTTTATTGTTAAAATAAATTGACTACTTAGAAGTTTTGAAGTCTCTATTGGAAAGGGAGGACAGGGTGGGTTGCTCTCGTGGTAAGCACCCTCCACTTCCAACCTCCACTTCCAATCAAGAGGTTGTGAGTTCGAGTCACCCCAAGAGCAAGGTGGGGAGTTCTTGGAGGGAGGGATGCGAGGGTCTATCGGAATCAGCCTCTCTACGTCAGGGTAGGGGTAAGGTCTGCGTACACACCACCCTACCCAGACCTCACTAGTGCGATTATACTGGGTTGTTGTTCTTGTTGTTGTTGTATTGGAAAGAGGAAAAAAAGGATATTTGTGGGCTTTGCATGTGTCAAAATGGAAGTATCTAATCAAGAATACATTTTTCTTTGACTAGCAAACTGTGACAAGTTTTAGTATGAGAGGTATATGAGCGTCTTATTGGCACATAAATACTATAGACTACTGAGGTCTTCTGATATCAATTTGACCTTTAGATTATCTTCTAAACACACTGTCAACTATATGCTACGTTCTTTCTTATGTTTCTCGAGCCATTAGGGCTGCTACAGATATATATCTCTGAACCAGTTACCTAATGATATATGCTAAACAGAAATTTCCACCTAATCACCAGAGAATATTTGCTTCTAGTAAATGGTACCAGAGTTAGGTTTGTGGCTCTTCTAATGGCGTATGAAGATTTAGAGACGTTCTTTTAGTTAGCATTACTCAGTTTTGGTTGCAAATACGAACAAATACAGTTGTACTGACCAATGCACAAGAAACTCGGGAAGTGGTTTGGATCAGCAATATAAATCCTCTGTATTAATTATGTTCTATTTGAGGTAATATGTCTAGGTGAATACGTCTCAACAACTGTAGTATTCAGAGGATCTAACATAATTTAACTATTTTTAAGCTGGCAAACAACCTCCACATCCCTCCTACTTTATCTAAGTTTGGGACTGGCTATGATTTTAGCAAAGTTCAAGTTTGTGTAGATGAATTGAAAGCTTACATTTGAATTTCTTATGTGTTCCCTCATTGTCATACAGATTATTCCAGTTCATCCAAGGTGCAAATTTGAACTTTTCTCGTATTTATATGACAAAGCCAGTTTTGACAAGCATTGTCCCAGGAGCTGGTCCTCTTCACTCATCAGCGTACTTTGTTAAACTGTACTTGCCTGTGAAGTTCCAAACTGATCCACCTCTTCCCCTTCCGGAACTGAACCTTCAACCTGATCCATGGACTAGTCATTGCATTGCTGTTAGGAAGTTTTCAGGATTTGCAAGAGATGGCAATATCGTTAAAGAAGCTCAGAAACTGGCATTGAGCTTGAGTAGATCTCCATGGGCAAACTCCACTGCTTCTACAAGTGAATATGCTTACTCTATAGCGCGGTATAATTCTCCTTTCCGGATCATTGGGCGTGTCAATGAAGTGTGGGTTGATGTCACTGGATCTAGAGCAAGTGGTTGTGAATCCAATCTAGTTGCTGCATACTGATTTTGGGCGTGAGCTTGAAGCTTCTTCGATCGTTGTTGTAAGTCTCCCTTATAGAAACCAGAGAGGCATGAAAGGTTGCTTCCTATGTACATATTGAATTCAAAAAATAACATGAATCCAAACGACGGATGATGCTCATGTTCTGTATATTTGGCACTTCTATTATGGTTTAATGGAACTGTGATCAATTCTGCAGAAAACTGAGTGGATAACTGTAATTCCCTTGATAAAGAACTTTGGCATTACCATGCGTGTTATTCTTGTACTTTATCCCAAAATGTTTATCTGATTTGACTTTCTCCGCTCAAGCTTGGCTTTAGTCAAAACCATTTCCGGGATTGAATTTCACAATTTTTGAAGACAAACTAGAACCTTAATAGACAGAGTTATCGGGTACCTAATGCCGGTGGGAGGTAGCAGATATCCTGTGGAATTAGATGAGGTGTGTGCAAACTGGCCCGGATACCATGGTTGTATATTAGGAGGGAAAAAAAGATAAATTACGTAGATAGTATTATAATATAGAAGATTTTTCTAAACGGGTATATATTTATTTAAGGACGTGTTTAACTTTTGTTCAATTTGGGTTTTGAAAAGTCAAAATAAATACATAAATAAACAAATGAATAAATATATATAGGTAGAGAGTGAGTAGCAAAACAAGCATGAGAGTAAATTTGCCTAACAAAGGTCTTCAGGGAATCAGGGTCATAACAGATAAGTTGGGAACAATGTTTAAAAGGCGTGGGTGTAAGGCGAGACGCTTTATCTAACACGGGCGAGTCATAAGTCCTGAGGCGCAGGCGCAAGCTCCATGAGTATTTAATTTTTCATATTTTATAAATTAATAAAATTAATATATAAATATCAAGAGGGTTCGAGAAAACTAAAGAAAGCTCTGAAGAACGAAACATTTAAATTCTTTGCCTGCAGTCATGATTAAAGCTCAATAAACAACTTCATATCAATATTCGAAGTGTGAGGGTTCAAAATCATCCGTCCGTGCCAGTTGAATCACGAATCATTGTTCATGATAATCATAAAATTGTTCGAGATGGATAATACATATTATTCAAGATTGATCTCTCAAACATTTGAAACCAGCCCAAATCTGTCAAATTCAAGATCAAGAAATCAAGTTTTGAAAACGAGAATCAGAGGACTCTCTTTAGAATTGACATAATTTGGAGAATTTAACCGTCATCATTTCTTGATATCAAATATCATAACTTGTCACTATTATCCTTGTCTTTACTTTCTAACGCATAGAAATTAGTACTACAACAACAACAACGAACCCAGTGTAATCCCATAAATGTGGGTCTAGGGAGGGTAGTGTGTACGCAGACCTTACCCCTACCTTATAAAGACAGAGAGGATGTTTCCGATAGACCCTGGGCTGTTACGAACGCAGCTGAATTAGGAAAGATGAGTGGTAATATCTAGAAGAAATGGGAAAAAGGCGTGTATATTAGGGTTTGCTGGAGTGAGTCGCGTGAGCTACACATGTCTATTAATAGAACGGTGTCGTTGCATTCAGTAAAAGTGAACGGTCGAGATTCAAAGCCTTAGTTACAATCCAAGGATTGAGATTAGACTTCAACATATTAAATAAAATCGTTGAAGAACTTTAGGGGGAGTTATGATTCTGGTAAATTCCTAACTACTTCTCATTCTCTCTTCTCACTTCTCATTTCTCTCTCTCTTCCTCACTCCTCTTCTTCCTTCTCTAATTTCAGGTAACCGCCATTGGAGCAGCTGATTAGAGCTCATTAGTTTAGCTACTATATTACATTCTTCTGTACAATTGAGTGTAATTTGGACTCTTCTATCAATAATACACACATTTGCTGCTTCTATAATTTCCTAATCTAGTATATTACAACTTGGTATCAGAGCTTAATCCTGGCAACACGACAATAACAGAAACTCGTTCAAAAGTTACAGAAGAAACAGTGAAGAAGATTGAAACCAGC